AGTACCCGCGAAAACTTAAGAATGAATGAATATATATACCCATCTCCCTCCCTGGCTTTTATATCCAAGGATTTATCTCTGAGAAATAATTTCAAAGATGATAAATCAATACATTTTTAAAAAAATACAGTGATTCTGAAGCTGGTTTTAAGTTGCCCTGTGTCCTCATTGGACTTGGTTAAGCAGATGTTAAATTGCACCAGTTCAGGGTTGCAAATAGTAGCCATAATTATTTGAGTTGATGTATATTGTGCAAGATCCTTGGGTGTAACTACAATTGTGCAGGTTTGGGTGGACATCAGTTATTGTGTTTCATAGCATAGTCATGAGATTTACATTTAATTATAGTTTAACTAGATAAAATAAGAGAAGATAGTTAAGTAACTCAAATAGTACAATACGTTGTGAATTCAGATTGCATCTTGCCCCTTAGGAGTACAAAATAAAATCTAAGGAGTAGTAGTAGTAGTAGTAATATAATCTCCCATTGAGGCATTACCTTAATGTGGTTGTGGGGCTTGTATATGCTCTGAAGAAGATGAGATCTATGCCAATGATTCATCCATAGTTGACAGATCTTGTCAGAGGAGCCAGATGAAGAATGTCTCTGCCATAAATAATATGGTGAGACATAACTTATAGAAACCTATACTGAATTCGTTGTTGCCAAAATTCAATGAGGACAATACACAAAGTATTGGGAACTCCTGGACATCTGGTGATATGTGAGCTACAGGACTCAGGACTGTTGGCTAAACAAATAGGATAAGCAGCCTGCAGGATTACTGAAGGAAAAGGAAAAGCAAAGAGATACTGCTTTCCTATTATAAATCGTATCTAGTGAGAAGAGAATATCTGAAAAGAATACACCAGTTTAGGAAAGAATAACATTCAGAATCAGAAATAATAGAACAAAGGCTACCAGATCAGCTTTGATATATAATATGAAATAAAGAATATACCAAAGCAGAACTGGAAGAACTGCAAAGAACTAACCAGGGCAAAGAAATCAAAGTCTTGCCAGAGGAATCCCAAACAACAGAGATAATCCAGGTGGAATTGGTAGCATAGATTTCAGCATTGTTTTTGAACCGTTTTCATTCCCAAACTAGGCACTCTCTTTTGCTTTCTTCTCACAAAGAGCAAGAGGAATTAAAACAAAGAGGAATTAAACCAAACTGAGCATCTAGAACAGGAGTCTTCAAACTTGACTGCTTTAAGATTTGTGGACTTCAACTTCCAGAATTCCTCCTCCAGTCATGTTAACTCAGATATTCTGGGAGTTGAAGCCCATAAGTCTTAAACTTGCCAAGTTTGAGGACCCTTTATCTAGAACAGCACAAAAGCAACAGAATAAGGCTGCCTGCACTGAAGCTTGTTACAAAAAATGGGTAGCACATTTTAAAAGATACCATTACTGTAGTTTATCAAATATATGCATTAGCTTGAGGCAAGAAATAAACCAACTGACGTACAGCACAGCACAGTTATTATTGATGATCTTGGATGCAAAATCAACATTTTTTAAAAAAATCCCAATTGAATTGCAAAAATGGAGGATCGGGTTGGGAAATAAGATCAGTATGTTAAGATCAGATGCAAGCTAGCTAGAAGAGAAGTAAAAGAAGCTGAAGAACAAGAAGATCAAATAATACCTGACTAAGAAATATCACCTAGGGACAAGAAAGATCAAGGAAGCACTGGAAAAAATAAAACAGCAAACAAGAAACAGTAAACCTCCAATTTCAGATGAATCAGAAACATTTCTACCAATCCATCAATGGAAAGATTAAAATGAATCAGTTAACACCTGACAAAGAAACAGTGCAGTTCTGGGTGCAGCTGCAGGATAAATCAAAGAAATACAATAAAAATGCTACTTGGATAAAGGAGGTGAATAAGAATAAAAAAAGAAACTAAAAAATGGTGGAGAAAAGGCCAAGTAAGATCAAGAACTGGTCAGCATTAAGTGAACAGGAATATCTGACTGGCCTGCATCCATTCATTGCCAAGCAGTGTAACACCATACTACAAGGGGGTGAAATTTAAGATTGGTTAATAACTGGCAAAAACTATCTGATAATGAAAGATCCACCAAAAGGAGTGGCATGAAGCAAATACAAGCCAATTACCTGTTTACCAAACCTTGCTAACTGGTATGGTAGCTGATGCAGTCCAACTGCATCTAGCTGAAAACAAGCTGTTTCCATTTGAGCAGAAAGGAAACTGTCCAAACAGCAGAAGAACAAAAGATCAGGTCCTAATTGACACAATGGAACTGGAAAACTGCAAGAGAAGGAAGATCAATTTGAACCTGGCTTGGATTGATGATAAGGAGGCATTCTACTCCCTGTCACATGATTGGATAATCAAGGGCATACAAACAACGAGAATCATTAGAAACATCAGAAGCTTTGTGCAAAGATCAATGACACAATGGAAGCTACAGTTGCTAGTCAGTAACTGACCAGCCTGGGAGAGGTTAACTTCAAGATGGGTATCTTTCCAGGAAACCCAATATTACCAGTACTCTTAGTCATTACATTGATTCCTCTGTCAGCAATACTGAACAAGACAGCCATGGCTCTCAAACATTGGAAACATATGCCAGGTTACATGTGCCAGGCTCTCGCAACTCCTTTAAAATAGATGATCTGAAGCTATATGGAAAAATACCATCTGACATGTAATTACTGTTCAATTCTGTCCAAAAATATAGCCAAGTTATTGCAATGGAGTTTGGGCTGGATAAATGTGCACTCATTAAAATTAATTGGGGGAGGGGGAAATAGAGAAAACTGAAGAAACAACATCAAGGAAACTAAGGAAATAATATTAAGAGTTTGGAGGAAGATCATTACAAATCCCTAGCCATCCTTCAGGCTAACAAAAATAAAACAGTCAAGAAGAGCATTACAGGTAGTCTCAACTTATGACCATTTATTTGTTCAGCATCTGTTCAAAGTTACAGTGGTGCTGGGACTTATGCCTAAAGTTACAGCTACTGCAGCACCCCCACAGTCATGTGATTGTATGATTTGAGCACTTGCACTTACAACTAATCTACAGTGATCATGTAATCCCTAGTGATGGTCTTCCCTGCCGGCTTCCCCAGAAAGAAGCCAGCAGAGTTCTTGACAATTGCTATCCCTCCTCCCTTTCCTCTGCTCTTGGATGGTACAGAACCTAAAAAGCTGGGTGGGCACATTTCCAAGTGGGGACAAACCCATCACAGACCCAGTCAGATCTTGGTATGACATACCAGCTTGGCTCCCTCCTCCAGGATATGATCCTGGGTGAGATTAGCTTTATTCTATACAAACCTGGCATTCATAAGCAATAGCTGAAGTCCAGGGCCATCAGGGATCCAATTGCCAGGTCAGAGAGGGATCTCTTTCAAGGACTCAGCCCAATATCCCCATGTGAGGTAGGCTTGGATTTCTGATCTCTCACAGGGAGATAAGGTCGAGATGGCCCTGCTTTCCCCCTCAGCTTCCCTACCCGAGCCCTCTCAGATATATTTCCTTTTCAGGCCTTGCAGGCATATCCACCCTCTCTTGACTATTCTTCTATAATGCATCCAACTCACCAAGAACTCAAAATTATGCCTAACCCCACTTGCCTCAAGGTACTTGGCAGTTCAAGGCCCTGAGGAAAAAAGAAGACAAAAGAAAGAAAAAAAACACCTAAAAGCTCTACCTAGTTCCTCCTTAACCCTCCTGAACAGAGCTGGCACCCTAATTATGATGCAGGCTGAAAGGCCCAGGGCAGCCAGATGCACAAGACCAACATATGGAGATGGTGATGGTGGGGACTGCAAAAGACCAAAATCCACCAAGTCTGTGAAGAAGATATAGATTTTTAAGATCCCATTCATTGTTTGCTTTGAACATTTGTATCCTATTGCAAAGTAGTTTGTGTTCCATTTTGAAGAGCTTTCTATAATATATAATGTGTTCTTTTTCTTTTATGAATTAGAACATAGGGGCTTCCTGTTCTCGCATATTAGAATAGCTTTACTGATAACCTCTGTGTTGAACATTAGTTATGCCCAACTTTGTGTTGTTTCCTATATTCACCTTCTTTTTATATAGAAGAGGTGAATTGCAAAATCATGCAAAACCAGTAGAATTCTAAATTCTGTACTAATGACGAGACATTAAACTAAATAATAAATAATAATAAGTATTTGAATAAATATTCAATTTCAGATATGATGGATTCATGGCATATTGAGGAAGAGATAAGTAAATTGGCTAGGGAGATTTCATCATATATTATGCATTGGGCTGGTACCGTAGTAGTATATTCATTTCTGTAATCACCCAGAAGGCCAGTAGAGTATAAATCATTCATGCAGTCCACAAAGTGTTTCTGTTCGTTTCATGTTTATTTACAGAATGCTAGTTCCAATTTTAATGACCACCAGTGTTTTGATTCCTATTCTCCTCTACCTTTCCCTGCAAGCTGATTCTTCTCATCCCTCCCCTCCCCTCCCCTCCCCTCCCCTCCCCTCCCCTCCTCTGTCCCACTCTTTGTTTTCTAATCTTCTTGGTTAACTCTTTAGTTGTATTCCATTACAACAGTTACCTCTGATTTTATCATCTTAAGTTTTATGTTATTATTTCAATGGATGCTCCTGATTTCAGTCTATAATTACATTGGGTAGACCGCAAATTACTGACTCTGGCTCCCAAGTTTTAAACTTTAAGCAAAGAAACCTTTGTTTTCTGTATTGTACAAGTTTTTGCATTTGAGATTATAACTATTCTTGGTTGATATAACCCTCTTTAAATATCAGCCTGACCCCCTTATTTAGCCTTCCAGAAGCTTAATGTAATCATGCACACATGTTAAAGTTATGTATTCTGGTTAAGATTAATATAATATGACAGAGAAAATCTTGGAACATTACTTCTTGATGCTAATATATCAAAAATTTAGTTAATATTTGTATTTCATTTGTTCACTGACATTTTTTTTTCATTTACTTTTCTTAGGCACAACTTTTCAAACATGGCAAAAGGGAAGATTGTTTACCATATGGTAAGATTCTTCATGGTACCATAAACATAAAGAGTAAAACATGAGCATGATACAAATTTCTGGTGGTTATAGTTTGAAGATTTTATACTCCTTTTGACTCGCCTGTTTAAAATCAGTGATTGGGATCCTGAGAACCACAGCTAGAAATAAGCTTATGCAAAGGAGATTTCTTGTCTCCCTTTTCCTTCTGTGTCTTCAAAAAATCTTCTGTGGAAGGTAGGACATCTTAAATAGTATGGCATGGAGTGCAAAACAAATTCACTAATATTTGATAGAGGTATATGGTACAAGGGTGCCAATCAGGAACTCTATTTACCAGTCACTTGTGCCCTCTCCTAAACTTTTAGAATGTTACTGTAATCATCTGAAAATAATTTGCATATTAATACAAGATGTGTAAGGCAGAGCTCGTTTAGAGATCAAATTTGAGAACTCAGTCTGGTAGAAAGACAGGTATGGATAATATATATACATATACATATACATAGTACATGAAATATTTTTTAAAAATTCTTACTTTCATCCATGTCTGGAGATTGACATTGGGATGGATACAAGTTAGATGGAAGGAGATTGTAGTGCCTCTTTCTATAGGAATGGGTGACTTGAACAGAGCTCAGCGATGCTGATGATTTATATCGGAATTACAAAGAAATGCCTCACCCTTAAGAATCAGTCCTACATATCCTTTACTGTAGGACTATTCATATATAAAAGATGGTTATTTTTCCTTTATTTTCTGTCGGTTTATAATATGTACAGTTTTGTATTATTCAACGTACAAAGTCTAAGGTGATTTCTTAGAGCAAGTACTTCGTATGTTGAATAATATCTCTTTCACTATCCAGGTAAAAAAGCATTCCCAAATCTTTTGGCCTTTTGTGTACATCTTCTGAATGCTACTGCAGATAGCCTTCTGGGATGCCCATTAACAAAATAGCTGAGCAATATAAGCAATTGGAATTCAGCAATTTATCAGAATTTGGGGGCTGTGGTTGGAATCCATCTTCTCCTAATCTTTTAATTTTGTTTCTATGCAGGGGGCATACTTAGAAATCTACATAATAACTATCTAGCTTTGGTGGGATCTATTTGAGAGTCAAAGGTGGTCTCAAAGAAGACTGACACTTCATTGTCAGTATGCTAACTTCCTCTTTTTAAAAGATTAGTAGTTAATAAAAAAGAAGGTGGGCAGGAAATCTTTTGAGCTCATTGTATAACTCCAAGCTATGAATATCCTAAAATGTACTATAATATTAGATTATAAGTATTAAGTTTATCAATAAATAGGAAAGTGTGACACTAGTTAATTAACTAAAAGGTAAATTTGGGTATATCTGCTATAAAACATAGACTCATTTGAAATTCTAGGCTGCTTAAGGCAATAGGTTTTTCTGGAAAAATGTTGCCTAAATGTTTTGTTTTATAATGTACACTGATACTTTCCCCTAATAAATCAAGTTTATTAGGGAAAAGGGGACTATAGAACTGAGACCAAATACTTAACTTCAGTGCAATGTCTTATGTGTCAGAACTATTTCCCCTCTGCCCCCCCCCCCCCCGATAACTTAACAATTGTATTGGTATTAAAAGCTGAGCGTAAGTTTCATAGTCTTCTGCTGAAAATATTTTAATATATGTTTCATATGTATTATATAATGGACAAAATTGGATATATTTATTGATAGAGAAATGTATTCATTATAGCTTCTACCGTGCTTGAATGTCTTGATAACTGCAAGCTCTTTGAAAGTAACCACACGATTCTTCGCAAGCTGGGAGTGAAACTTGTTCAGCGACTTGGTCTGACATTTCTTAAGCCAAAGGTGGCAAAGTGGAGGTTTGTTCTTTTCATAATCATGTTTTTACTTGCCTTCTTTCCTTTTATTAGGCTAATCTGAGTTGTAAGATCTATCATTAATAGGAGTAGATAAGTAATAAATCATCTCTCATTCATTTGATGACAAGAAGTTCTGGTTTAGCAATATTTGTGTATGAACTTTGGCATTCTATAGATATAAGCAACTTCTTCCTTTATAATTTTAATTTATGTTATTGCTTTACATTTTCTACAATTTATTTTACAGTTAAATTGTCCTTTCAAAGTTAAATTTAGGATTATGTAGAAAAACAGATTCTAGGAGGGAGTATTGTTTTAAAAAGTGTACATAAAGGTGTGATGTCTCTTCCTTTTCTTCTATCATATTTCCCTTTGCCTCCTTGAATGAAAGTACCAATACTGAAAAACATAATTAGGCTGTTAAAAATTTCCTCCCACTAAAACACACATTGTTACACTGGGAGTAGCAAGAATAAAGGGCATGTGGGTGTGGGTGTAGCTCAGGAATCCCCAAACTTGGCAACTTTAAGATTCCCAGAATTCTTCAGCTAGCTATGTCCACAAGTCTTAAAGTTGCCAAGTTTGGAGACCTCTGGTGTAGCTGATGGGTCTGCAAGTAAAAAATCGTAGGAGCCAGAAAGGATTGTGTTGGTCTGCCACCACTATTCAGGATACCCAGCCCCTTGACTCCACCCCTCAGCCCTGGGAGCTCAGCTTGGTCCTGGGGATTTGGTTTTCACCTATCAGTTCTTTGGGGCCATACAAGAACAGTCAATGTTTCTTGACCCCTGGCTGAAAGAATGAAAAAGGACTTTGAACTAATATGGATTATGTTACTAAAGCATAATAAATATTAGGCAGTTTGTTCTAGGAATAATTAAAAAAGGCATTTCTTAAGTTGTAAACTATGTCCACAAAGCTTGAGCTTAGATTGCACATTTTATATATTTAAATATATTCATATTCATAATATAAATAATTACATTCTATTTAATTAATAAATGGTAATTTACAGGTATTTTATTGGTGAAATTGCTTCTAGATAATGCTGTGCAACCTTTTAATAGCAAAATGTCAGCACAAATTTTCCTCACAAATTATTTCACCAGTGACAGAATATTTTACATTTATTTTTAAAATTGATTTCATGGATATTTTGAAGATAATATGCTTTCTCTCTGCTAACAATATAGCCATGGTGAAATTGCCTTTTCAGGTATCAACGGGGATTCCGATCTTTAGCTGCAAATCTACAGTTTTCTGGCGGAGGTCTCATTCCTCAGAAAACAGAAAATATATCAATTGACACAGGAGAGGAGGAAGAAGAGGAATACGATATTCCAGGAGAGGTTGAAAATGTTATAGGTATGTTTGATCAAAAGCAATGTAAGATCTGATATCCTGGCCAATGTGGTTTATGAATTTGATTTATTGATTTATGTACAATTCCTTATGGTATGTGGTAGGAAAGAATATAAATAGTGTTACGTTATCTTTGTTTCATAGTTAAAAAAATATTATTTATATCTAGATTCTTCCTCTTAGTTTTCATGGCTAAGGCGGAACTAGAACTCATATTCTCCTGTTTTCCACCTGGTGCCTTAATCATTAGACCAAACTTGACACTTCGTTATTAAAGTTGTTATTATTAATTTGATTTGTATCTAAATTAAATGTAGCTAACAATAATACTTTGTGCATGTTACTATACTGATGTTATTTGTGATTTTTGGTTATAGTTCTTGACATTGTTTTGACATTGAATTATGAGTCCCTCCCTTTCATGCCCATTGACTTTTCCTGCATAATTAATTTAATCTTCATTTTAAAGAAGTGTTTAAACATACTTGCGCCAGATCCAATAAAACAAACAAACAAACAAACATGATTTTTCTTACAAAATCATGTTTAGGAATAAATCGCTAACCTTACCACTCCAGTAAGATTTGGAGATGTATCCTAATGAAACTAGAAGTGCCAAGAGAAAGACAATATTTGGCTGCCTTGAATTCATGTTATCTTTTTAAAAACATTTTTTCACAGAGCAGTTGTTGATTGGATTAAAAGACAAAGATACTATTGTGAGATGGTCTGCAGCAAAAGGGTATGTGTTCTTTAGTTAAACTGATTCACACAATTTAATCTATAAATATTGGTAACTAGAATGATATGGAACACAGTGCTATTAAATGTTCTGTATAATATAACAAAACAAAGGCCTTGCTAATGGATTCATTTGATTTTTGTTGCAATATTTAATTTTTCATGTTTGAATTATATTCTAAAGTTTGACTTCTTTTCTTATGCTTTATTTATTTAGTATTATTTAGTATTTCCTATTTAAAAATACTGAAGCTATTTTCAGTAGTTATATTGATAGCCATAGCCAATTTCATTAGTTATAAAAATACATTGTTATAAATAAATACATACATGCATACATACATACATACATACATACATACATTCATGTCCCAAACACTGGGAAGCAATTACATTGAGATGCACATTCTTTATTGCAATTCGTTTGATTGCTGTGAGCTGCCCTTAATGGTTGAGAATTGGGTAATTTAAAAGTTTAATAAATTATTATTATGAGCCTTTGTTTAGTGTTGAATAACAATCTCTATATATTTAAATGAAAATGGACTGTATTTACACATGCTTTTTCTTCATTTTGTGACAAAGATTTCCAAAGTAATAAACAGTGCATATCTAAAAACATTTACTTCTTCATATTTCTGAATCCAGAATCCAGAAATAAAACAAGACCACTTACGACAGCAAATAATATAAGGATTTACTGGGGCCTGCTATGTGTCTTGCCTTCTTATAAATGGATCAGAGACTGTAGCATAGGAACATACCAGAAACGTATTTATAGGAGTTTGATCTGATGATAGGAGAAATATTACAGGTTATCTACTTTGGCATGTCTATGCTATAGAGAATGCAGAAAAAAAATCTGAACTATTTAATCTTCAGTTGAAATTAAATTTGTTCGATCAATATATATTACAGAATTATAGATTTGAGTTTCAAAATTACAAAGCTCAGATTTCAGGACCATAGGTATGTTTATGAAAAACATGGCAAACATAGATTGTTGAAAGTCTTAATGAAGTGCTGTTGCTTTTTCAGGATTGGCAGGTTGACTGGAAGGCTGCCAAAAGAGTTAGCTGATGATGTTGTTGGGTCTGTATTAGACTGCTTCAGGTAATACTTTGCATTTAATTTTTTTTTTTCAGAAATGAAATTTTATCCACAAAAACTTTATCAAGCAGAAGCATAGAAGTTAGATTCCAAAATGGAAATATATTTTTAAAAACTCAACTCACAGTATCTAATTTAATTATTTGGTTTGATACCTATATATATATAGATGTAAGAAAGAGTTTACATTTTTAGTATTTCATCTAACAAAATACTATCATAGAACTAGGAAATGTGCAAAATAAAGATGAATGGTGTCTACAAATTTAGACTGGAAGAGTTAGGCTCCACAGGGTTAGCAAATTTTGTTATAAAGAAAACTGTTCTTTAAAATGCTGCTGATTTGATGCTTGAAAGTCTTCATTTCCGCTTTATCACAAAATGTTTTTTAACAAACAGCACAGACCAACAGTTCATTGCTAGAAATGAGATAATAGATTTCATCTTCAGATGCTCTAATTCTTATCACCATTTTTGTACCTGGAAAATCCACAATTCTTGATAGGTATCCTGTTTTTTCCTTAATTGAGAAACATGTTGATGCAAAATATGAAATCATATTTACATGTTGGTTTAATATCTTGGTTTATTCTAAATCTGATACTTATTTTTAGTATGTTTTTGATTTGAATCGTATTTTTCCTGTTAAAATTGGTTATAATATTTTAGATTACAATCTCAATCTTTTTTTTTTAAAGACTAGGAGGTTTCAGATTCTTATAGTGTCCATTTTCTATCGAGATTTACTTGGTACTGTTATGCCAGGGCACCTTAGAAAATTCACATGGATGCTGCAGGATTGCAAATTACTAGCTTAAGGTAGTTCATGGTTTAGACCTAGGGTTGTGAAAAAAATTGTCAAGGCGTTAAAGGCACCATGAAGTGCCAAAGTTTGGGACCTCTGCTATTGAGCATAGAAAGATAATTGTTTAAATATTTTTTTAAAAACCTAACGTACACCAATGCAACTTATAAAAAAAGGGGAAAAGGGCAGTGTCACTTTGGGATTTTTGTTAGATTGATTCATAGTGACATATTTAAAGAAAATATTTGATTTTATGTTTTGCTGCATAATTACACAGCATCATGTAAGACATTTTAAAAATCAGAATTATTTATTTTATTTATTGTAGAAATTTTATATTGCAGCCTACTTGCACATGGCGACTCAAGACAGTTTACACGGATATAAACACCGTATAAAAGAAATAAAAAGAATAAAATAATAGATTAGTAAAATAATAACCCCCTCCCACCCCAGCGACAACACAGTTTCATACAAACCATTTAATGGGCTCCATCCCACTCTGGGTTCCCCACACCCACAGATAGAACTATGTCTTCAGCACTTTCCAAAAGAGTGTTAGCATAGGGACCAGTCCAATGTCTGAGGGAATAATGTTCCAGAGGGAGGGAGCCCCCACAGAGAAGGCCTTTCTTCTGGATCTTGCCAGATGTATCTCCCTAGGGGATGGGATCCACAATATTCCTTGCCTCTCCATTCTTGTGGGTCAGGTAGATGTGACTGGCAAGAGACAATCCCTCAGATAACCTGGTCGCAAGCCATGGAGGGCTTTAAAGGTGACAACCAAGACCCTGAATTGCATCCGGAAGCAAATCGTCAACCAATGTAGTTCCTGCAGGAGAGGTGATACATGTGCACACTGAGGTTTGCACAAAACCATGGGGGCTGCTGCATTTTGCACTAACTGAAGCTTTTGGATGCTTTTCAAGGGCAGCTCCATGTAGAACACATTGCAATAGTCAAGAAAAATTAGGAAAAATCATCTTAACCCTGTTTTCTAAAACTGTAGTTTTCAGGAAACTGATAATGCATGGCATGGTGGATGTTTGGCACTGGCAGAATTGGGAAGAAGAGGCTTGTTACTTCCTTCCCGGCTATCAGATGGTAAGTGTTTTTTAAACTGAGTTGAACCCAAAATAAAACTCCTCAAAATAAAGTTAGATTTTGATTTGGTATAATTATATGTTAATAATCTGAGCCAGTTTTTGGCTAAGACTAGGTTGGCAGTAGTCTAGCTTTCCAAAGCTTAGGGAGTGCCATTGCTGCCTTTCCTTCTGAATAATTTTAGACATGCAAAGTATCTCATTAGGGGGAGGTGATACCATCAGTCACTGTAGCCTATATAGTTGTTTGTATTTTCAGAGTCTGGGAGAAATTTATATCCTAGCCACCTATATCTTCCTTTCTTATTGTTTAAGATAATAACAGCACTAGCTATCTTCTTTAGTAAAAGTTGTCAGTTACCATCATTAAGTAAGAACTACCTGCACAATCTTCATTAATCACTTATCATACATGGCAGGTTCTCTAAAGACTTAACATTTTAATGCCTCTGGATAATGGTCAAACTATTTATATATTCCATTTGTACCCCATGTAAATACAGGGATTCTTGAACAATGTGACTTTCCTTCAATTCTGATCGAAAGAAAAATGAGTTGCTATGATTTACATTTCAAGGACTTCTTTGAATTTTGTAATTTTGATGGTTAAAAATATAATGAAAGATGTATTTTAGGATGAAATATACTAAAATGCAAATACTTCAGTAAATTACACTTAGAAAGGTATATTTTACTGGAAAATATTCACTATATGTACATAAATAATATTTAAATACAGATTTTGGAATACATATTTGATTTTTGTGCATTTTTTAAAAAATGAATTTTACACTAGAAATGGAATATATACCAAAGAAATACAACATTGACATGAATCAGAAATAGAGTGACCTATTCTTCCCCAGCTAAACATTGTTACAACTGGTAACAAAGATACAAAGATACATTAATGTTGTAACTTTCTGAGGAATATTCATAATGATACTTAAGATTCATCTGTAGCCTTTATGGTTTGTTTCTTTGCAAGTTATTTTTTGCTACAATATAAATAATATTATTGTAATAAGCAGAAAAATTACTATAACATGTAAAATGGAAAATTATTATTACAAACAAGTCTACGAAACATTCACTGATACTTATAGTATGCAATTTCTTTAGTGCTACAAACTCATATGGATGTAAAATATAGAATTCACAACACAAGATTCCTTCTAATATGGGTTGAAATAAATAATTTCTTGATTTGCATTTCGCTCAGTACTTGGGACCTCAAGTTGCAGTTTATCAAACATGTAAGAATTTGTGTGGGACCCTACTTTGTTTAAGTCCTAAATTTTAATTAATTCAATTAATTTAGGCCTTAAAATTTCAACCATAACATTTTTATATTGGGCCATTTGACTTGGGAAAAACACAATACCAAAACTGTAATTTAGAAAGTTTAATATGAGTGCTCTAGTATATTATCAATGATAATTCAATAACACTAATCTTAAGCAATTGGAAATTTTCATTCTTAAAATATTAATAAAACAGCAAAAATACACCGGATAACAAAAAACAGATTTGAAAATGAAATTAGTCAGAGACAGATAGAACACTCTTATTATATCCAAAATGTACTTCTAGAAGCTCTATTTTTGTAATAAATTGTTTTCCCAATAGTGCATTTATGAAACATGTTTCTACAATAGTGCATTTAAGAAATTATCATTTAGCTTCAGTTTTACATTTAAATGTTCACTTTAAAAAGGTATGATTATGAGACATTTCGGTTACTTTAAAATGTATATACAAAACATTTTAATATTTACATAGTTCAATTGAATAGAATAAATGAATCTGCAAAGTAAAAATAAAAAATTGGTACTGAAAAAAAATGTTTAGTTATTTTTGTTGGATAGTGTACATATGAACTCTACTGGATATTTGGTGGAACAATATTATGTTATCCTTGTTCTCTTTCTCAAAGTGAACACTCGACTGCATTCATTTGTTCTTACTCTTTTGGTTCCTGATACTTTTGTTGCTTCTCTGTGATTGGTCCTTTTTTGTCCTTTTGCTTTTTTACAATGATTATTCTGAGTTTCGGGTGGTTCAGCAATGGAATCTCTATATTGAGAATTGTTCTCTTGCATATTTTTCTCTGTGCTCTCTTTTTGAACCGTACTTGGACTGTAGGAAGCTAATTGACAGAGAGCAACGGCTGCAGTTTGTTTCTGCTCATCACAACTCTCAATTGTCCTTGGTTCCTGCACTTCTTTTATAGGCATCACAGAAAGAGACTTACTGAAGGAACCTTTATCTGCTTGGTTCTTAGGGCTACATATTTCTGTCCCCAAATCTTTATTTTCAACTTTTTGAAGGTTATGATCTTTAGTTTCATATAGTGAGTTCTGGAGACTTAAATTTATGTGGTAGTTGTCTTTCACTGAAAGGTTCAAAGGCATTTCCTGCAGTTCCATGCAGTTCTGGTTTTCTGTTGGGAAAGTGCTTGTATATGTATGTGTATCGACTAAGTTTGCATCTGGTTTCTTGGAAAGATTAAGGGGTGAATCATCTGAATCATCTTCGGAACTGGACAAAGGATCGTCATTATTATCATTTCCATGCTGTACATTTTCCTTTTCATTACCGATGTCACTACTGAGAGGAAAAATGGAAAACGTTATTGTCTAATTTGGCAAAATACTTAAATGGGGTAGATACTTTGAATTAGAAATGAAACAAATTGCTTGTATATAAGCTATTAGAAAAATTATATCATAGTTACACACAGACACACACATCATTGCAAATGCATTTGCTTACCTGATTAATATTTTTGCATGTGCGATGTAGTTTTAAATCTCAGGTGACATGTGAGGAATTCATACATTTTGGCTTATTTTCACGAAAAGTTAAGATGATTGCATAAAAGAAAACTATGAAGTCAATCTGTGCATCGTATATACTGAGAAATATATATTTCATTATGATTAAGTATTATGCTTTATCAATGTATATCTGAATGTAGCAAGGATTTTCTGATAATTCTGTTAAAAATAAGTAAATGTTCACTTTGGAGAGGCCTACTATGTATAATGATTGTTGAAAGTGAAACATGTTAAAAGTACAGAATGGGAAGAGGCCATTTAGGCCATTGCTATATACTGCCTATTGTAAAATGCTTTTTTATGCAGGGGTTCCCCTGAAATCTAAAAGTTATTTCAAATGTTCCTCCAGAATAAAAAGCTTTTAAAAGGCTGGTCTAGAATCTGCTTTCATGAAATGAAATATTCAATGCTTAATCCCTTTTTTTTTAATCAAAATGTTATATTATTCCATAGATTCTTCTGGTGTTTGTTTATATTGACTTGGTTTGCATCATATTACTACCTTTATATAATTTTGTTCTCAAACGCTGCCTAGGGTAAGTGCCGTAAATGGTATTGTATGTATAAATAACTGTATAAATGGCAGGATTTAAGTTAGCAATCCTGTGCATGCTTAAACATTTGATTCACTATTTACATGGTGTTTATACTTGCATAAATATGCATAAAGCTAGCTTATAAAGCAAAGAATAAAATAAAAGCAAAAAAGGAATTGATAATTTTGTACTGTGGTTGGCATGTTTACTTAGCACAACAATAGCATATACTATAATTCCTACTAACTTTAATGTGTTCTCGTATTATTTGCCATGCATACCCATTCCCTTATTTAATTTGGGATAATAACACAATAAATATAGAAATAAATTATACTGAGGCATTCCTTTGAAAGGCAAAAGTAAAAGTCCATTGACTGCATTCTTCCCCATTCTCCCTCCAAAACCTCTGCTGTCCTCAATCTGTTTCTTCATTGGATAAGGAGAAGAGAAATGTCTTTTTCCTCATTCAGCACTCAGAACAGCAAATTATTAGACCAGAGCCACACAAAAAAGAGATAGTGGTGAATTTAAGGAAAAAAGTTCGAATTAGGATAGCCCTGGCCTTGCTCACTGGTATGTAACCCTTGTAAGAAATATTCCCCCCCACACACTGTTTTAAAATAAACTTTCCCACCCAGCTATATATAGTTGCAGCCCATGTATTTCCTACTTGCTGTGTGTTTTCCAGTTTGACAAGTAATGAAATATGTCCTAGGAGGCCCTATGTAATGTATCTTGAGGGCATGTTTGCTTTCACCATAGACTTTAGCAGGAAAAAAAAAATGTTTTAAAAGGACATTTGACATTTTACCTTTTAGGAGAGTTTTCTTTATCTTCCTTTGATACAGGCGGAGGAGATTGTTCTGTACTTTTCCTCACAGGTCTGAATGCTGTAAAGCTTTCTTCAGGTTGATCACATTTGTTAATAACTGAAGATGACTTATTAGAAAGATCAAATAGGCCTTCACAACCATGGCTAGTTTGAGTGAAGTTTGTCGGGCTGGGTCTTCCTGGGGACCCAGTTGCTGCACTTCCAGCACGAGGGCTCATTTTGGCATTTTCTCTTTCATTTTGATCTTCTTTAGAATGACCTTTGTTATGCAGCATAGGTATTTCCTTTTCATAGTCATCTGTTTTTTTATGAGAATTTTGTGGTGATAACCTGGCTGGACTCGAAGAATGCGGATAGAGCAAGGTTGTTTCTTCCATTAAATGAGAATTTGTGTCTCTGTTAATATCTGCAATGTGTGGCAGCCTGTAAAATGCTGATTCTGTTGGCCTACAAAATCCATATGGAACTGAAAGATTTGGACGATATGGCTGGAATAAGCGGTAGTGTTCATATGTTGCTGGATTGATTGGTTTAGGAAGTGGTCCTGGATGAGGAAGAAAATGTCTTTGATCTTGAGAACCGTAGACAGACAACACTGAACTTTCACACTCATGAGAGTTTCCTGATAGGAAGTAAGGTGCATAGATAGCTAATCCATGTTCATACAGTGAAGGTGAATATTCTGGAATCATGGGTTGTACATAAGATGGAATGGAAGTGAAACCTTTTGCAGGTGTAATTTTATGATTAAACTCTGGAGTAATAATTGTACCACCTGTTTTCCATAGAT